AACCCTAACCCCTAACCCTAACCCTAACCCCACCCTAGCCCGAACTCTTAAGGCCAAACACCTCCTCCTCCTCCTCCTCCTCCTCCTCCTCCTCCTCCTCCTCCTCCTCCTCCCCCCCCTCCCTCCGGGCACCGGAGCACACGGCGCGGCGGCCGCGCCGCGTCGCGAGGTTGGGGGCCCATGGGTTCGGGGGTGTCCCCTACCCCTCCTCCCCCTCCCCAGCAAAGATTTTCCGTGGCCCTAAGGGCCTTTAGGACCAAGAAAAAACTACCCTTTGGGAACAAGGCCGAGAAACCCGCAAGAGGCTCACAGGAGCCTCCCAGATGCCCCCAAGAGACCTCCAAGACGCCTCTGTAAAGCACCCCGAGAGACCCTTATGTTCATCCATGGGGCTCCTGACCCACAGCCCAACTGGGGTCGGCGGAATGGCATAAGCGAGCCCTCCAAGAGGCCACTGAGGGGTACCCCGAGAGACCCCCATGCTAATCTAAGAGGCTCCTGACCCGCAGCCGAGCTGGGGGTCGGCGGAATTGCGTAAGCGAGCCCTCCCTCCAAGAGGCCTCTGAGAGGTATCCCAACAGACCCTCATTTTCATTTGAGACGCCCCTGACCATCAGTCCAGCCGGGGGTCGGCGGAATGGCGTAAGCGAGCCCTCCAGGATGCCTATCCCCAGAGACCCCCATGTCAATCCAAGAAACCCCAGACCCACAGCCCAGCTGGGGGTCGGCAGAATGGCGCAAGCCCCTTGAACAACGTGGTGCTGGGGAACCAACTGATGAGAACTGCGATGCTTGTGATGGCGACGCGTCGCATAGCATAGCATTGCGAGTAGCATAGCGAGTAGTACAAGGAGTAGCATACCAAGTATTATAGCGAGCCTCATAGCGAGACGCATGGAGAGTCGCACTGCGAGTAGCATAGCGAGCAGCATAAGGAATACCATATGTAATGCCATATCGAGTAGCATAGCGGGTAGCATGGCGAGTAGCATGGCGAGTAGCATATCGAATACCATACAAGTATGATAAGGAATCGCATCGCGAGTAGCATCGCGACGACCATCGCGAGCATAATAGCCACGACCATAGCGATTAGCATGGCGGGTAGCATAGCGAGTAGCGTAGCGCGTAGCACCGCGAGTAGCATAGCGATTAGTATAGCGAGTAGCACAGCGAGTGGAAGGTGAAATGACGTAGCGAGTAGCATATCGAGTACCATACCGAGCAGCATAGCGAGTAGCATTCTGCACGGCACAGAGCTTGTTGTCACGTCGCGTCTTGTGGCGGCCGTCCAGGTTGCACAGTGCCCAACGACAAGCGTAATCAGCAATACCCAAACGCTGCACTTGGCGGCACCGACTCGCCCTATATGTTGTATATAGGGAGGACAACTGCGCACGTGTAGCTATAATGGCCTTCGCAGCGCGCCACTTCTCAATGCGCTGAGCGTTATTGCTATCGTGGCAGGCTGGCCAGCATCGCAAGCAGCAGAACGACTACCCAGCCCACGCGACCCATGAGAACCATATACGCGTAACGCCTCTCATGACGGGATGGGTCTGGTGGGGGATGTGGGGGGGCCCGGGTATCCATGCGCGCGCGTCTTGGGCCGAGTAGCCGCGATGCATCCTAGGGGCCGCAGGCGTGCCAAAAAGAAGAGTAAACAAAAAAAACGACAAGCCTGGCGCAAGAGATGGCTCACCCACGGCTTGCTGCGAGGCACTGGCGCCCCTCGGGCGGCGACTGCATCAGGGCCGAAATGCAAACATATACCCAAAGCAGTCTGCCTGGGGCATGCAATAGTGAAATCGCGAACGCATCGCTCAGAAACCCTCACCAGATCAAGGCTCCGTGGTCGGCACTCCGCCCGCCAGCAGCTGCAGCTCCTCCTGCGCCTCCTGGCGCTGGAGGAACAGCTTGCGGATCTGCTCCCTGACCTTCTCTTTGAGAAGCTTGATCCTGCCGTTGATCTCACTCACCTTGAAGCCCTCAGGCGGCTCGAAGGCCTCGTCGGCGATGGTGTCGATCTCCGCCGAGATGGCCCCGATCTCCGCCACGACCGCCCTGCAGGCTGGCAGGAGCTGCCGCGGCATGAATTGCCCCTCGTTGGCCTTCTCCGCGTCGCCCACGTTCGTCTGGATGACATCCTTCTGTTTCGAGAGGAAGTCCTTGGCCTTTGTGAGCGTGGACCTCTGGGCAGGGGTCACCTTAACCGTCTTCTTCGTCTTGCCGCCCTTCCCGCTGTTGCCACCAGCGCCGCCCTCCTGACCTCCAGGCGTGGCGGCATGCGGCCCTCCTGTCGTGGGGGTGCCGCCAGCCGCGCGCTTACTCTTCTCCAGGGCCCTCTCGCTGGTGAGCTCCCTCGTCGCGACCTTCTCGGACTCCTCGCACCGCTTCCGCGTGCGCGTGTAGTTGAGGTCCTCGTACATTATGCGGCCCGTGATGTCGCAAACGAAGTTGTCGGCGTTCGCGAGGATCGCCTTGGCCACCTCTGGCTTCTCGAAATATTTGTCCCACACGTCCTTTTCGCCCATGTAGTGGCCCGTCCCTGCGCGCTCCTCGCTGGCCTTCTCGCGCTTGGTCTCGTTGGCCTTCGTCAAGAGAACGGCAAGGAGGGCATCGGGGTCGTCGCGGTACTGATCGACGAACTGGGCGCGCTCGTCGGCGCCGAATTTGTGCCATTGGTCCTTCAGCACTGGGTCCTTGAACCAGCGGTTCCTCTTGCCCCTGAAGCTGCTGCAGTCTGAACAGCGCCCCTTTTCTACCCCACTCTTAGTCACGCACGCCAAGGTGCCCTCGACCTGGGGAGGAGGAGGAGGAGGAGGAGGAGGAGGAGGAGGCGAGGAGGATGATGAGGATGAGGAGGAGGAGGAGGAGGAAGAGCACGACGAGGACGAGGACGTGGAGGAGGAGGAGGAGGAGGAGGAGGAGCAGGAGGAGGAGGAGGAAGAGGGGAAGGAGAAGGAGGAGGAGGAGGAGGAGGAGGAGGAGATGGGGAAGGTTGAGCAGGATGAGGATGAGGAGGAGGAGGAGGAGGAGGAGGAGGAGGAGGAGGAGGAGGAGGAGGAGGAGGGGTGTGGGGGAGGACGACGGGGAGGAGGATGAGGGGGAAGGGAGGAGGGCGAGGAGGAGGAATATGAGGAGAAGGTGGGGGAGGAGGAGGAGGAGGAGGAGGAGGAGGAGGAGGAGGAAAAGGAGAAGGAGGAAACGGGGGGAAGGAGGAGGAACGGGGCGAACAAGAGGAGGGCGGGGGCGGGATAAGGGAGGACTGCCTTGGGCTTCTCGCAGTCGATGCACGTGAACGTGCAAGAGGTCACTGCCACGGCTGCAGTCGACGCCTGGGCTGCCATCGGTCGTCTGCTCGATCTGTGGTGCAGCTGTCGGACCGAAAGCGTGCCAACTCCTTTGGCCAAAACGGCTATGACCCCATCCTCCTCATCATCATCCCATCCTCCCCCCCACCACGTAAGATGGGCAGAAATGACACACGCTGACCACGCAACTACGACAAGTAGCACTGCAAACAAACTAACATGCGATGTATTCATTGTGCTGGTCTGTCGTGCTGGTCTGCCGCGCTTGTCGATCGAACTGTAGACGCTTCGCGTATCCCCACCAGCCCATCCAGAAACGATGCCCAGGCGAGTTGAGGTGATCAGGGAAGTGCGGCAGAAAAGAGGAGGACGGCCGAACCGTGCAAAGGAGTGAGGAGGAGAAGGACGAGGTGGATGGATGGATGGATGGATGAGGGAGTGGGAAGAAGGAGGATGAATAGGATGAGGAGGAGGCGGAGGAGGAGGAGGAGGAGGAGGAGGAGGAGGAAGAAGAGAAGAGAAGGAGTAGGAGCAGAAAGGAGGAACAGGAGGAGGAGGAGGGCAACCACAAGGGCCAGAGGTCTCTTGGATGCCTCTCGGAGCCTCTTGGGGTATCTCTTGGGCGATTCGTGGTGACCTCTTGGGACGTTTTGGGGGTCTTTTGGCGATCCTGGGGGGCTCTTCGGGGTCTTGGGGGCCTCCTGGGGGCCTCCTGGGGGCCTCGTGTGGCCATCTTGGGGCCATCTTGGGACCTCTTGGGGCCTCCTGGGCGCTTCTTCGAGCCATCTTGGAGAAGATTGGTCAACGAAGGGGGGGTCCTCAATTAGCCCCCCCCCAGGAGGCCAAAATGGGGCCAAAACCTTAGTGACATCAATGATGTTGGTTTCCTCGCCGAGGCCATTTCGGACGCTCCAACGCGTCGCCGCGCCCCCCGTCCAGGTCCAGGGGAGGGGGAAGAGGAAACTCTCTAAACCACCTACGCCCAGAGAGCTGGTGGGATTATTTTTCTGACCCGTGCATATCGTGGACCCCCAACGTACAAAGGGCAGAAGCAATCCGCCGCCGTGCTTGTACGGCTGTGGCGTGTTAGAGTGCCCGTTGGCTGTCGGGTACGGTTTCTGTAACTTTTCAGGGGGCGTCAAGGACGCCCGCGGGGTTCCTTATCAGGCGAGTGTCCCCCCGCCGTGCGACATCATTCCCCCATACAGCGCGAATCTTAAAATATGTTAATTTTTCATAATTTTGCATAATTTTTATAATTTTTATAACTGGGTCATATTTTTATAAGATTTCACACTTCTGCGGCTCAGAATTATGTTGTAATCTGGAAAGCAGTTATGAATGGGTTACAACTTTTATAAGAAGTTATAAAACCGCAATATATTACCTGAAATTATAATCCCGCTAACGCTGTTATAACTATGTTGCAGCCTTGTTATAAGGCTGTTGCGGTGCACTTACAACTACTTTACAAAAAGCGCAAAAGCAAAAATATACAAAGCCGGGACCAGTTTTTCATCCTGAGCCGTTTTTTGACGGTCCCGGCGACCGGCGAGGACCTCAGCGGCCCAAAGTAGCGAAACACCGCCCGTCCCGATTTTTGTTACGACGCGATCGTCTGGCGGGTCCGGGCACCTCCGTGCACAGCCGCGGACGGCCGCCTGCCCCCCCCCCCCTTCTTAGGGCCTGTGGTCTTGTCGGCCAGCCGCTGGCGCTGCCGGAAGCTGCCGGCGACGGGCTGCAGCTCGGGCATCGCGCGGGGGGGGGGGGGCGTCCGCAGCGCTGCCCCGTGGCCCGCCGGCCAGCCGCCGAGGGCCAGGAGGGCAAGCCGAGACGGGCTCGCCACGCCCAGATCTCCTGCGAGCGGCGCTCTTCCCTCCGGGCGTCGCTCCTGGATTTCGGCCTCGGAGGCCCGTTCTCGGGCCGCGGCGGGCCTCGTTTCACCGACCCCTATCCCCATGAACGTGGCCTGGGCCCCCATGGCCAATGGACCCCCTGGATAGGGGATATCGGCCGTTCCCTTCGGGTGTCGAGGTGTCCCCAACTGGGGTGCAAGGATGCTGGGGGTCTGGATGGGGATGGGGCTGGGGATGGGGATCGGTTACACGATACCGACGCGGGGCCAAGGAGAACTGATCGGGGGCGGAAAACCACCCCCAGGGAAGCGGTGGGGAGCTCTAGGCCCCTCGGATTGAGTAATCATATGAGCAGATGTCTGGGGACTCGCCGTTTCGATTGTGGAGGGTTGGAGAGGAGGAGGAGGAGCAGGAGGAGGAGGAGCAGGAGGAGGAGGAGGAGGACGAGGATGAGGAGGAGCAGGAGGAGGAGGAGGAGGAGGAGAAGGAGGACGAGGAGGACGAGGAGGAGGAGGAGGAAGAGGAGGAGGAGGAGGTGGAGGAGGAGGAGGTGGAGCGTGGCTGAGGAGGAGGAGGTGGAGGAGAGGGAGGGATGGATGGAGGGAGGGAGGAGGATGAAAATTCGGGAGAATTCGGCGACGACGATGTCGGGTTTCGCCTGTACGTCGGGTGCTGCCTCGGAGCCCAAAAGCGCTTGGAGCCCCTGGCGCAGCACCAAGCATTGCTGGCACCAAAGCGTTCGAAAGACAACATTCGGTATCGCTCACTTTGGCTCAAGCCGATTAGCGAGAAGCCTCAACAACTCTCCGAGGCCCCAGGAGATTCAGAAGACCTGGGGGAATCGGGCTCTAGCGTGGCAAAACTTTGCCCTTAGACAGGCAAGATTTCACAGACTTCCCATTCTTAGTGGGCGGGGCAAAAGGATCACAAATCCCTTTCATACTCCCCCTGTCAGACGCTTTGGCTCGACGGCCACACATGTTGCACCAACACGTGGAGCAGTATTCAGCATACTCGGAGCCTTTGCCAAGCCAGTGTGTCGATTCCTTGGCCCATTGCTGGAATTGGTGCGCTTCCATGATTGCGTGGATCACGTCCGAGGGGTCGCCCTGATAATCGTCGTCGCTCATGCGCCACAGGTTGCCGTGGTTGTCGGTCCACTCCGTGGGAGAGGTGGCGTTCCATCCTATCTCCCACAGGGTGAGAATGACCGTGCCGATCAGCCCTCTGCGATGCTTCTGGCGGTATACTGGTGGGACGTTGGCAAGGCGCTGGTAGGTAATGGGCCAGGCGTGGTGCGCCCCCTCGTGCAGGTTCTCTCGCTTGTTCCATGCGTCGAACCATGTGCTCAATACTCCACGTAATATACTGACTGCAGGGCCAGCGTCGGCGAGGGCGAGGTAGGTGTGGAGGCATCGGCCTGCCCAATGCCTGCCGAGAGCCTTCGCACATCGTCTTCTGGCTGCGGTGGTCGCCGCCGGTGCCTCCCCGTATATCTTGCAGCCGTAGAGGTAGGACGCCATGGGACCCTGTGTTATCAGGGCCTGCCTGCGCTGTGCTCGAAGTCGTCGTAACTTGAGCGTGATACTGCGTAGGCGTCCTGCTGCAAGGCGTCGTCGCTTGCTGTGGGTCGGTCTGCATGTCGGTGTTCTGCCAGCTCTGTCCTGTCCCAAGTCGCGTCAAACTGATGCTGCCTTGATGGCAATGCCCCGTTGTCGCAGCTGGCTGCAGATTTCACTCGTCATGCCCATGCTAGTGCTGATAACCAAGCTCTTGTCCGCCATCTCCAATCCCTTCTCTGCAAGGCATTGTGTGTACGCCGTGGTGGCGCTGATGGTGGTCGTGGTTGAGTGTTGTCTGCTTCGCGTCGCCCTGAGCTCCACATCGTCGAACCAGGCGCTGGGCACTGACGCTGGTACCATGTAGTGCATGCGGTGTAGTGCCTGGTGCACGACAGCTCGTGCGAGGTTGTTCGCGGAGGAGAAGGAGGAGGAGGAGGAGGAGGAGGAGGAGGAGGAGGAGGAGGAGGAGGAGGGGGAGGAGGAGGGGGAGGAGGGGGAGGCGGGGAAGGAGGAGGGGAAGGAGGAGGAGGTAGAGGAGGAGGAGGAGGAGGAGGAGGAGGAGGAATATCGAGAAGGAGAAGGAGAAGGAGAAACAGAAGGAGAAATAGAAGCAGGACGATGAGGAGGATGAGGGGAAAGAGACGGAGAAGGAGAAGGAGAAGGGGAGCAGGGAAGAAAGTTTAGAGCAAACAACACTCGATTCAAAACGAGAACCCAACGCAGGAGGGTGGCTGGGAACATGATCGACCCACGAACCCTGAAAAAAAACAATGTTAGACATGACAGCGTTTTCAAGACACCTGACTGGGCGACGGGCAATTGCAATGCTGAATGTATCGATCTTGATGTACCGTGTCAAGGGCTGTGCTGTGCTGTGCTGCGCAGTGCTCGGCTGCGATGTGCCATGCCGTGATTGTGCTCTATAGCGTTGTGGATCGAGTCCTCCGTTACAACCGAGTCATGACCGAACTGATCTGGATCGTAAGCTCGAGCTGCCTGAGCTTAAGTATCTGCCCCAGAGCTAGTTGAAATGGAAACGTGCAGGACGTTTGATCGACTCGACCTCAAAACCCGATTCGGCTCCGAAAAGAAATGACACGACACGGGGCACAAGCTCACGGACGCGCCATTGGATGTGCCATGACCGCAATAGGGGATGCGCCAGGGGGCGTGCCAGGGGACGTATCAGGGGACGTGCCCTGGACGTGTCAGGGACCTGCCACGGGACGTGCCAAGGCGCGTGCCATGGGGCGAGTGGCCAGAGGACGTCATGCCAAGGGACGTTGCAAGGGGCGCGCCACGGAACGGGCAGGGGAAGCGCCTGGGGACGAGCCAGGACACGCGACAGAGGACGAGCCAGGGAACGCGCCACGCCGAGTGGCGTGCCACGCCAGAACGTTGCAAGGAACGCGTCAGGAGACGCGCCAGCGCGCCAGGGGACGCGCACGGATAGGCGGGGTTGGACTGCGATGCGCTCTACCACGACAAGCGTTTCGCTCGAAACATCCTCACCAACTCCTCACGTTAGACATCCGCCTGGGCGACCTTGACACGTGAAAAGAATCTCGCTCGCGACATCCTGAAGAGGTCCTCATGCTAGACATCCGCCCGGGCGACTTGGACGCGAGAAAACAAGGGTCTCGATCGAGACATCCTCAACACATCTCCATGCTAGATATCCGCCAGGGCGACCTGGACACGTAAAAACCAAGCGTCTCGCTCGAGACGTTCTCAACACCTCCTCATGCCTGACATCTGCCTAGGCGACCTGGACACGTGCATACATGCGTTTCGCTGGGGACATCCTGCCCAAATCCTCATGTCAGACATCGGCCTGGACGACCTGAACACGTGAAAGCAAGCGTTTCGCTAAACACATCCTCAACACATGCTCATGCTAGACATCCGCCTGGGCCACCTGGACACGTGAAAACAAGCGGATCGCCTGAGATATCCTCAACACACCTTGATGTTAAGCATCCGCCTGGGCGACCTGGGCACGTGAAAGCAAGCGTTTCGCACGAGACGTTCTCGACACCTCCTCATGCTAGACATCCGCACTGGCGACCTGGACGCGTGAAACCAAGCGTCGCGCTCGAGATGTTCTCAACACCTCCTCATGCCAGACATCTGCCTGGGCAACCTGGACGCGTGAAAATAAGCGACTCGCTCGAGACATCCTCAACAAATCCTCATGCCAGACATCTGCCTGGATAACCTGGACGCGTGAAACCAAGCGTCTCGCTCGAGGTATCCTTAAAACCTGGGCACGTAGCACTTCAACTGAGACATCCTCTGAATTCTGGTCCCCAGGAGAGGAACAGCATATAACACAAAACAAGCGTGCAGCTCGAGACATCCTTAACAATTTCTGCGACGCAAGCGTTTCGCTCGAGTCATCTGCAACAAACGAAAACGTTTACTTTACCATGTGCTTTCTCGATCGGAATTTCAAACACCAGCCGGCAACATAATTGCAAAATAAAGTCGCAGGCCCTACGCAAGTTGATGCCCGGCACTCGGCTTACCTACAAGAAGGGAACCCTGGGCCCACGCCCTTTCCAAGACAAAACAGACACACGAGAACAACAACCAGGCGCACCGCCGCCACCCAGCAGGCACACCAGACACACGTTCACTCCAGGAGCTTGCAGGGACAGGAGAAGGATGAGGGCAGGCGAAGGAGGAAGAGGAGAAGGAGAAGGAGGAGTAGGATGAGGAGGAGGAGGAGGAGGGGGAGGGGGAGGAGGAGAGGGCAAAGGAGGATGAGGGGGAGGAGGAAGAGGAGGAGGAGGAGGAGCAGAAGGAGGAGTGGGAGGAAGAGGAGGAGGAGGAGGAGATGGAGGGGAAGGAGGAACAGGTCATCGACTATGAACACCTGAAGGAACAATAGTGGCCTCGAAGCTTGAAATGCTCCAGGATAGATAAAGGAGACCCACACCAGCTGAAGGTGCACATTAAACATGCATCACGAATGAAACGCATCAACAACCGTCATCCGAGGGATCGGCCTCCTCGCGGCGTCCGCTGTCAAGGACCCACTGCCCAAGCCCTTCGGCCTGAGCGCTGAAATAGAACCCGACTAACACAAGGCCTCGGATGAGGTGGACCCCGATCCGCTCAACAGCGGGGTCGGGTCCAAGCTCAGGCACCACTCCCAGGCCAAACTTCGAGGCCTTGAAGGTGCGAGAGTCGTCGGACAGCGAACGCGCTGCTCCGACGCGGCACTGCTTGCGGGACGGGCGCTTGCAACATCCATTACAATTGCCTCTCGCGGCCAAAAGAACGGGACCCCAGGCAATCCGACAAGAGAGCACTCCGACCCGAGGAACTCCCAGGGCCCGAGGGTGGCCGATGGACCCGTAAGTGGCAATTACAAAAGACCACAGGTCCCAAAGGAGCCCCAGCTGCCGAGGTCACTGGAGCTTCGATGCAGGAATGGCATTTAGCCTTCCAAAGCCTGTGGAGGGCCCAAGTCTCTTCCCCGGGAGGCGGCGGGGGGCCCGGCGAGGATAACACCTCGCTAGCGTCCCGCGCCACGCCGCTAGCCGTAGCGCTCCCTCCTCCGACTCCCGCCCCACCTACAACACCGCCATCATCCCCCATGACGTCTGGCAGCAATTCAAATGAGCCGAGGTCGGCATGTCGGAGCCAATTTAGCGGAACATGGTCGTACACCCCAGCATCTGCTATCATGGCCTCCTGATTGGCCGAGTACCTGGCCACTTGCTGGGCAATCTCATGGCAGTCGATGATGACGAGACGATCGGCGGGGTCGCTGCGATACAGCTCGGCCCCACGACGCACATACTCATCCGCTGCTTTGTTGCCGAGCCGCTGCGCACGGGTCAGGCGGCCGTTAATTCATGTCCGCCTCTGTACAAGGGGACGGGACGTTCCAAACAGAGCAATCGTCAATCTTGTCGTGCACTTGAGCCCTCCAGTGGGCCCGCGGATTGTCGGGCCCGCAGCGGACCTGGGGTCCGAGCACAATCCACGGTGCCCGCGCAATCAATATTGATGTGGACTCTGGATAAGAAAGTTGCACTGAAACGAAGCTGGAGGACAGCATATTCTTCACCGTCCCGAGCGGCCTGGAGGGGTGCTTCAGCTCAGGGCACCACCCCCCAAATTCACGACAGGACGACCCCCTTCCCGTCCGTGACGACCACCGCCCAGCCCGCCACCCCCAGGGACCGAAAGCGGCCCTCGAAGGCCGATCCGTCCGTATGGACGTGCATTCCAGCCCCCAGCACGTGGCCGTCAGCAGGCCAGCTGAGACGATGCGTGTAGCAGGAAGAAGGGTCGGGCGCTTTGCGCTTGAACCAGGCCGAGGGCTCGGGGGAAAAAAACAGAAAAAAAAATCCTGAGCTCGGCCCTAAAACACAGATATCAATCTGGCCTCCTCCCTAACCTCGCTCGAGAGCTCTTCGCGTCTCCAAGCCGAGTGGGCAGGGCAAACAAAGCGGCGGTGGAATAGGGAACCGAGCTCCCCACAGTAAAAACAGACAGGGCGAATATTTTCACACTTCTCGGCGAAACGCTGTTGGCACCAATACCAGCTAGCTATCAGGCCACGGAACACTAGGCAATGATGAGACGTCCAGCCTCCCGAGGCCTTGGCCGCAGTCAGGTCCTGGGCAAGGCAAGAGTAAATCGGACCAGACCATTCGCCAAAGAAAGACGACTGACGACCTTGCTCATCGTTCACAATCGCATCCCAGCACGCCAGCCTACAAATGCCTACGAAAACAACAAGCGAGAAACGGCCGATCGCCCGGAAGACCCCATGCTGGTCCACCAGGCAGTCTGGATCAAGTCCGAAGTCCCGGCCAATCGTGCCGAGGGCGAGGAGGAGAGCCGACAGTGGCTGCTTCACCGCGTTCCAAGGCCTCTTGTTTCCAAGGGTCTTCCGAACATCGTCCAAAGCTGAAACGAACACGGCCCGGATGACAGAGCGGTGCCACCAGGCCGAGAAGAAAGACTTCACAGCCGTCGCAATGAGGCGCACAAACGGGTCGTTCGTACAGGCGCTGCTGAACAGCAGTGAAAAACCGAGTGACGAACCTGGCTGTGAAGGTCCGAAGCTGCGGGCCGCTGCAACCCTCAGCCCTCCCGCCGCCGAACTACTGACCCCGAGGGTGGGAGTCTCCCAAACAGGTTTGGCCGCGTGGCCCACCCTGAACACCCGAAACTCGGAGGAGGTGAAAAGATACGCGGATGATTTCGATATGGAGGATGTTTTCCTGGGCTCGAGGCTCAAGCCGGCTGCGGATAAAGGAATCGCAACAGCCCCCCCTGATCTGACACGTGTACACAGATCGGGGCAGAGCTGCCCTGAAGCAGTGCGCGCGTCGTACGTACCACCATCAGCACCATACCATAGTTTGTCTGATAATGGCACAAAGAAATAAAGAAGTCCAAAGGAATACAAGTGCTCACCTGATGTCTTTGGGGGCACACAAGCAATTTCCTGTTGCATATGCTGATCCTATGTCTCAGATAAAAACATCTCCCCGTTCCAACTGGTCAACCGCAATCCGAAGAGCCTCTGCCACGCCGGACCTCGTCTGCAAATCTTCACATCAATGCGGATATCCTTCAGGAAATTGTGCTCCCTTTGCTCTGTATTCAGAAGAGGCTCGACCCCCTTGACACTGGCCTGGCTGCGGTTCGGGCTCGGGCTCGCGGTCTTTGAAGGGGAACGGCCCCTATATTTGGCGTCGCGTTCTGCTGCATGATCCGCCGGTTTCGGTGGAGGCGGTGGCAGCGCAGACTTTGCGTCGGCCCACGCCTTTTCCGATGGGGTGTCCGTTCTGTGTTTCTTGCAATCGCAAACCTTGATACTGCGATGGAAGCCCTCTGCTGCTTCATGTGACAGATTGCGTTTCGAATCAGTTACAAAGTGTCGTTTCATCCTGAACGAAATGGTCTCCAAAACTCTATCACGAGTGTTCACTTGATATGATTTGACAACCGTACAGTATCAAGGCAAGCATTTTGGACATTCGGTGTAGATGTATGCATCATTTGAGTGCAACATGTTACGGCACTGAATCTACGATTAGGGCGTCCTGCCCAAAAAGGTCTTCAGCCTGAACGGTTACGTAAGACCACTACGCATAAATTTCCAGCCTGCGCTTCAACGTAGAGAACCTCGCTCTGTCAAGGTATTGCGGTCCAGCGTCTGAAATGTTGTATGTTGGAATCACTTGTGAATATTTTTGCGTTTTGACTGCGCAAATTGCTGCACATGTAAAAACATGATATCAACATGTTTCAACCTTCCTGCGTCGAGTCTTGATGCTATGGCCCTGTCTGCACTGCTGTCAGATGCTACAGTGGCCGAAATATCATGCCCCAGCTCTTTGATCAACGATTGCGCATGCAGCGCCTGCGCGGCGCCGGAGGCGATCGCATGTAGCTTGGCTTCCCCGCTGGATCGGGCGACCACGCTGCGCGCGCGGCTGTAGTTACAGAGAACGCACGCGCCCCGCATCACAACTTCTGCTGATGCGCTCTTTCTCGTCTGCCGGCAACCTGCCCAATCAGAGACCTCGCAAACAATGACCTCATCAGAAATCGAATCGCCCCCAAGATGCAAATATCCACGTCTGGCCCCCGTAAAATACCTCAACAAATGCTTCAATGTACTGCCATCACGTTTCGTCGGCGACGCAAGTTGCCTCGCCAATTCTTCCACTGACAACTGGATGTCTCCTCGCGCCCGACAAATGCGCGGTTTCCCCACTGCGCACATGCAATTAGGATGTCCAGGCGCATTTAAAACTACGAAACCTTCCCCGGCAGAGCCCTTTACATAAGATGCGTCTTTCACACCAGGTGTGCTCACAGGAGTATGATGCCACATGCTCTAGATGTTCAACGCGTCGTCGATATATTTGTCTGTCGGGGGAACATGTATACAACCGTTGCATGCCGCGCGCACCCCGCCGAGGTATTCAGCGGGAGCCTCCTTGGTAAAACTATCACCACGCTTGAATTCATGTTTTTCGAGCTGTCCAGAGAAACTCATCAACATTGATATTGTCTCCTAGTGCAATAAGATCATCTACGCGCATGCTAACTCGAATTCCGCTCTTCTCATTCCAAAACAACAGCGGATCGGTCAATCAACGGGTAAATCCAAGATAATATGTTAAAACGCTGGAAGTGAAGCTTGGAAGTTGCGCGGCGCTTGTCTCAAACCTTTCATGGTTTTGTTCATCTTCCAAACCCATCCGGGGCACAGAGAACGGCATGGATCTGGCGGGCGGCAGAAGGCATTCGCATCTGATATGTCGGCACGCATGAAAGCTACGCTAAAGTCTCCAAAATGCAGACATCTAGCTTCTCTGCCATTGCGATTGCCAGCAAAAATGCGAAGTCCAATCGGCGCCGGCGCTGCAGCGAAAACATCGCCTCTAGAACTTGCAATTCTCACATCTTCTGCAACAAGCCTAGACCGCACCTCATCCCCTTTCATCTCGCGCATGCAACCTGTCTCAATCGGCCCACTTAAAGCGTCGTCTTCGCGCCGCAAGAAATAAGCATTAAAGTGATCAAAAATACGCATTTATCTTGCCATGCCGTGTTCAACCAAATCTTCGGGGAGCCCGTCCGTAAAATCAACGCACCCACACCATTGTTCCAAACATTCTTCACTGGTCAGGCAGAGGTCCGTTGAGTGTGGCTCTGGTTCTTCAAACAGGTACTGGTCTTCTCCGGCGTTGAGAATCGGTCGCAGGATCGCCAAGTTTCTCGATCCTGGCGCATCTGGGCGTTCCTCTTCAGCATTGCATGTCCTAGCTGACTGCCGGTCGTCAGGTGTCGATCCATCTTCTTGCATTCGGTCGCCAGAGGCATCGTCGCGATGCTTGGCGTCGTGCGTATTCTATTGGCTTTTGTTGGTTGCTGCCTGTTCTGCTGCGTCGCCCTCTTATCTCATTCGTTTCTCGGTGTCTTTCAACTCCCTCTTGCCGTCTACGCTTGCATTCGGCAGAATGGGCATTGCCACGTGCTCCCTCGCGGCACAACTTGCACGTGGGAGTTTTGCCGTGCTCTTGCCAGAACGATCGAAGTTTCCCGTTGGCTTCGCGCGCCGTTGTTCAGGCACGTCTGCGCATTGGTGAAAGCGCCCCACTGCGCCGTTCGACTGTTTGGATGCAACGGGCGCCTGTCAAACATAAGTCCTCGGAGAATGGTCGTCGACCTGTCTCCTGTTAGCGACTGCGCGGGCAAAATCCTGAACAGAAGATCCCGAGTCAATCTGCAAAACAAGTTGTCCGTTCAGCCCTGCACGTTCTAGATGTTTCACAGCGGGCCCGACGGCGCGCGCGTCAGGGGGGCTCTGGCTTTGACTTGCGCGCACGCGCCATAGCCGTTTACGACGCCAATTACCAATGCACAAGTGATTGCTGCTGCGTTTTGCGCTGTTCTCAAAAAGAAATAAGTTATTTGCACAATGGGGATACTGGATTACCCCGGGCGTTTGCGCGGAGACTGCCTGGCGCGCCCCCGCGCGCAAAACTCACGCCGCACGCGAAAAGGCATGCGCGTAAAATTGTGCCCCTGCCGTTCTTCGAGTGCCGGTCCAGTCAAGATTCTGGGGGCCCACGGTCTGCGACCTTCATCCGGTTGTTCTTGCAACGGAACCGCATCCGATTGAACAGAAGTCTTTCGAAGCGCGGTAACCATCTTGAACGCTGTCTTTCTGCATCCACGGCACATGCTGGAAGCTCGGCGCTTTATCTCTCAAGTGATTAACTTTCACGTTGTCCTATGCACGTTTCCAAACATGACCTCTGATCATTTGTATCCAGGTAGACATTGCGAAGCCCTGGCCGTTGTCTGGACACGCAAACTCTCTCTCTCTCTCTCTCTCTCTCTCTCTCTCGGAAAATTGGCACTGCACACGTCACCCCATCGCTGACACGCGTTCCCTCTTGGACTGTTTGCGCGCGTCTTTAACTTTCACGTTGTCCTATGCACGTTTCCAAACATGACCTCTGATCATTTGTATCCAGGTAGACATTGCGAAGCCCTGGCCGTTGTCTGGACACGCAAACTCTCTCTCTCTCTCTCTCTCTCTCTCTCTCTCGGAAAATTGGCACTGCACACGTCACCCCATCGCTGACACGCGTTCCCTCTTGGACTGTTTGCGCGCGTCTTGGAGGTTCGTTGATGCCGAAGGAACTTGCACTACGATTGCCATGTGCGCTCTGCGCGCCTGCGGGCGGGCGGCCCGTTAGGTAGTGGATGACCTTCTCCTGAGAGGCTCATTCGCGCGTCGCTCGTTTCAGAGCTGTTTGGGGGATCGTTGTTTCTCTCTCGTTGCAGAGACAATTTGATTGTCCTGCCGGGCGAGTTTCGTCCAATCGACCCGATTTTACACAAGCAGCCATTCGTTCCTCGGCCACTTCACCCACGCGATGCGCAAGTGGAAATCCGTTGCGAATTTATCGCATGTGAGTTTCTTTGGCAACTGACCGACGGGAACTCTGTATTTCTCTGCTCTCGGCGTCACCACATCAGGTTCGCCCCCAGAGGTGGTACTCGAACTTTCTTGGTTCATTTTCGCGGGAATGCTCATTCTCAATTCGTCCGGCGGTTCGTCGAGAGGCCGGAGGACGGCTGAGTGCAACGACTGGCGCTGGACGAGCGGCACGATCGTTACTGGGTCGACAAATTCACAAGTAACGCGATACAAGAAATTATGCTCTTTCACACACAACGCTTTTGGGATACGAGGCACTTGCAACACGCGCGTGTTGCCATCAAACATACAAGTGATGTTTTGTTTTTGTTGGTTAGCCTGCTGATGCTGATGAATGTTCTACTTGCTTCTCTGAAAACACTGAAACGGATAACAGACAGCACTTTCGCGCCGTTGTGGCCGATCAGCTGTAGGGGCACGTCCTTGTGCCCAATTCTCGTCATTGGATGCCCCGAGGCGGTCGCGCCGCCTTTGCCACCACATTTCACCACAGGGATGTGTTTCGCGAAAGACTCATTGAATACATGGTCAAATGTTCCAGAATCTAACAGGATATGGAAGTCTCTCTGTG